TAATATATTATAATATATTATATATTATACAATATAGATGAGATGACAAACTTTGTTCGAACAATTGGGCGAAGGAATGAAAGAGAATTGTTGTAGTATTGACTATAAATTGACTTGAACGAGAGGAAGGGAGAGCCATTCACGAACATTATAATTGATTTAAAATCAAATTACATAATATATTGTGCGAATTTCGTGTATCGTTATATTGTTCATATAAAAATATCTATTCGGTATTTTTCAAATAATTATTTTATATATTCGCAATTGTAGAAATATCTCTTAGCACCGATCGAGAATCAATCATACGTCGACGCGACTAATTTCCATGCACCGCGGTACGTTATCGCAAACTGCCCCGTGGAGGATGCATCAGTTTTTTAATGATACGTGCAATCAGCGAGTATTCTATTCTCAGCGCTGACGTTCGATCAACTATCGAGCATCGAGGCGCCGTGTCGCATCACATCGTGTCGCGTCGCATTGACGCCTGAATATCGCGCCCTCGGATTCCCCCCTCTCTTGCATTTTTTTCTTTTTCTTTTTTCAACAGAAAAGACGACCGAGAAAGCGAGGAAGGGACGCCACTTTGACGTCCTAAATTTTTTTTCACATTACGCTAAGAGAATAACAAATTTCGAAACCTACATCCGCGATGATGAAATCGTCGCGGTATTTGGCTGTGCGATTTTGTATTTTAACATTCGCAATATCCGAAGCACGGTCATACATTTAACATTGACAATTTGCAATACAAATCGTCATTATGGCATTACTTTGCGCAGAGAGAACCCATTCGGCGAAGAACAACTGTTTCTGAACAACACCGAGGTGCTGTACGCGTCGCACTTCAATGAAAGCAGACCGACCAAGTTTATCGTTCACGGATTCAGCGATACCGGGAACGAAGGCTGGATACGAGATCTAATAGGCGGTGGGTCGACATGGATATTGCGTCGCAATTTGCGCATTTTTTATACTGCTGCTATTACTACTACTACTTTCGCAAACAATCAGGGTCAGCCTATTTCGGTAAATACGGAATCGACGACGTTGTCGGTTCAAGAGTCAGCGCGATAACAGTTTAATTAATCGTTTTTGCAAGTTTTTGCTCGCTCTTCCTCTACAGAAACTTTGCGGAAGAGTTTCAAGTTCTTTTTATATCACGCGATTTTCTGATCCGATAATTCGACCGTTCTCTTCTCTCTTATCTTATACATAGCGTCGCTTCCGAATAAAAATAAAAAAGGAATAGAGATATAACATTTAATTGCATTTTTAGCGTATCTGCTTTATCAGGATGTGAACGTGATAGTCGTCGGTTGGGGAATTTTGGCGTCTGACGCCTATCCAGTGGCAGCTAAGAATACGCGTCTCGTCGGTGAGTATTTAGGCCAATTCTTGGAATTCTTAAATCGGGATTCGAACCTGGAGTACAAGGATGTGCACATTAGCGGTCATAGTCTGGGATCCTACGTGGCGGGCTTCGCCGGAGCTTATCACGATGGACGTGTCGGAAGAATAACAGGTAGAACAGAGCATGATCGCCTATCATCATCCTTATATGTGACGAAAGTACACTGCAAAATTTTTTTATGACATTTTTTAGAATATAATTACATCATATTTATAATAATTCTTTCTTCCTAAAATTTTTATGTTTATCAATTTAATAAAACGACATTAAATAAATACGAAATTACATGTAAATTAGAATTGCTATATTTTTTGAGACATATTACTGAAAAAAATAATAGCATTAGAAAATAATTGCAAATGAAAGACAACAAAAAATGCCATTATAATTTACAATTTTTTCTTGAAAGGATTGGATCCTGCGAGTCCTCTGTTCGAGACCATTTCCGGCATAGTTGATCCAGAATATCGATTGGATCCGACCGATGCTCAATTTGTAGATGTGATACATACTAGCGGTCCGACGTTCGGATTCCTGGCGCCGTTAGGACATGCTGATTTTTATCCCAACGATGGCAAGATTCCTCAACCTGGATGCTCTTTTGTGCCGACAATAAGTAAGACAATAAGTATTATGTATAAAAAGTATTCGTGTTATTGCATCTTTACTGCGAAGAATATCGAAACAAAAATATGACTCATGGACGATACATATATCTTAATGCCACTTTACATTACAGCTTATTGTAGTCATTCGCGGGCGCATCAGCTTATGACCGAGAGCATCGGCAGTACGGTGGGCTTCAAGGCAAGAATGTGCGAAAGCTGGGAAAAATACAAGGAGCAACTTTGCGATTACAATCCGGTCATATTGATGGGCGAATACGCTTCTACGTCGTAAGTTGTCTCTTTGTTTTTATACTCTGTTATAAATTTTCCGAGGATAGTTATAAAGGACCGATCCAATGATTTGTTTCCCTCTCATCCAGGTTACGTGGCAAATTTTATCTGTCGACTAATGGCGCTCCTCCGTACGCACTACAGTAAACATTCTAAATATCGATCTTAAGGGATTTTGAGCTGAGAATTTGCGAACTCACGATTCGAGAACGATGATCGTGTATAATAATTTGTACTATAGTCATTTATAAGTCACCTTATTTATAAAACTTTCCATTCTGAGCGCGTACCGAACATACATCGCGCGCACCGTATATCGGAATATACCTTTAATATTACGTAATGTGTGTTTTACATACATATAATTTTAAAAAGAGTACAAATTACATTAATTGTGACTACGATTTTAAATCAATATTCCTTTTACACCTTGTCATTTTTTCCATTTAAAATTCTTTAATTTTTTTAATGATATCAAGAAAATTCCCGAGATTTTTTGTTATTCTCAAGTTCAAAAATATAATAATTTCAAAATAACATTGCACGTGCAAAAGAGAAAGAAGGAAAAATAAGTCTAATAAATTAACAATTAGGTTTAAGATAGATAAGTAAGTAAATCGATTGAGAAGATTATTATTTCAAATCTTGAATACTTAAAATGAAACATTCATAAAAGACTTGTGCATTGAATATTTGACGATGCGGCGGACAGGGGACGCGTATCGTTTCCTTTTTCGAACTCTTTATATTATATGTCTGTGCAATCCATACTGCTTACGAAATGCTTTGCGGAAAATGGAAACTATTGCTTTTGTCGCGTCTTCTTCTCGTTTCTTGCATGAAAGACAATATCATGGTCCGAGATTACTTTATACATAAAGGCATATACAGTGTCGTAGGATTTTCCTGCGAGAGTCTCGAAAGTGCGTAAAAATATCTGAATAAGACACACACATATATATATAATTACAAGCAAAGCTTCTTTCCCGCGTAACAGACAACGTGAAATTTGCGAAGACATTCAACGATGTCTTTATACTCGCATCAATATGGAATCTCGAATCCGTGGTTGGATCATCAACTCTCAAGAAACTTTTACAGAGTAATTATCGCAATTTAGGAATCTACGTGGACGCGCGATGCGACACTCACAATTACACCGTATTATATTTCGAGGTAAAAGTATTCCTCTCTAAGAGAACTTTAACTATTACAGAAATTGTATATTAATTATTGAGAATTTATGTAAAAATAAGAAAATATGTAATATAATGTAAAAGTAAGAAAATAATATGTATCAAGATGCGCGATCGGAGAAGGAGAGAGCAGGCAAGGGTCATGAAAGATAACAAAACCGTGAATGTCGAAGCAGCAATCGAGCGCAAAATTCTTGATATTAACTTCTTTTTAATTGATTAGGCTACAAAATATTTTATGTACGACGAGACGCATAAATGGCTAATTTTGGGAGAAAAGTTGAACGACACCGTCAGTTTATTGAATGACAACGCCTTTAGTATAGTTACCGACGTTACGATCGCCATACCATCTCTCACCGGTTACAATTTATACGACGTATATAATCCTTGCAAAGCACGCGGTGGCTCTTTAAACGTAACCGCTTTGGGTTACTGGACTGAGAAATCTGGCATAGCTATCAGATTGAAGCAATCGAAGTATGAAAGACGCTCTAATTTACACGGTATGAAGCTCAAAGTGGGAATTTTAGTAAGTAATCGAAATTGTTCTATGGCACATATACGCACAAAATGAATACAAAATATAATTTATTGTTAATCTTTTTTTTGTAGCTGCCACAAACATTCTACAATTTGTCAACGGAGCATATTATGTTGGATCCAGACATGAAGGCAAAATACGGTCGATCCCAATTTCTTTACACAATCTTGTTATACATGACTGATCTTTTTAACTTCACGTAAGATTCAACGAAGACTTTTCGAGCATTTTTCAAGAACTTTCTTCTATGCATGCATGTTTTTTTTAGTATGGAAATTGTGGAAGTGAATCCAAAAAAACAGCAGGACAATTCCGCGCCCATGTTTGTTGCTTTTCAGAAAAAACTGGTAGATATCTCGGCCAGTCCGATCGTAATGAAAACTGAAAGATTACGGAAGGGAGATATTATCGGTCCAGTTTGGCCAATACGGTGCGTAATTTTGCAATATACGATAATTATATACAAATTATTTTACCTGCTTATTTTGATACTTTTCTATGCATAGATCGTGTTTTTTATTTCGTACAATATCCTCGGCAAATATGAAGACGGAGCAATTTTTACGACCGTTAAACGTTAAAGTATGGTATGTGATACTTTGTACGATGATAGTTGCCATGTCAGTTCTGGTAATATTGATCAGACAGGAAGGCATTCAGAGTCTAACAGAGGGTTACGGTATTTCTATTCTTCTTACCATAGGTGCTGTTTCCCAGCAAGGTATACCTATGAATCCTTATGAATCCCTATGAATCTCTTCAATCATTTATATTAAGTATATCTATACGTTATAGTTAAGTATCGTTAATATTAAATATCTATTGCTTTTTGAGTTAAATAATGTACGCAAAATAAAGAGCCTTCAGTAGATTAAGCTTATTCGCAGGCTCCATATTTGTTCCAATACGTTATGCGGGTCGCATAGCTTTCATACACATCATGCTCTTCAGCGTGTTGATCCTGAACTATTATTCGGCGAGCATCGTGTCGGATCGATTAAAGAACATAGGCCAGAAAATGAATGATTCATTGATCAGTTTGGCAGATAGTAATCTAAAAGTGATGACCGAATCTACACCATATATTCGTTCTTTTCTGCAGGTAGACACTTTCATGATATATTGTTATATGTAATTCAAGTAACGAAATTTTATAGAAAAAGAACCTACAATAAAATCGAGCTTGTTCTTTTATTCAAAATATATTCTTTTATATGATATCCATGTGAATCTATACGTATCTGACTTTGTCTTTTTGTACCACCGGAAGTCACCGGAGAAAGAGGTACGATACTTTAATGCGAAACGATGGGACAGAATACCGGAATCCAAGCGATATTTGCCACTGGCGGAAGGTCTGAATCGCGTGGCTGAGGGCAACCTGGCCTATCACGCGTCAATCGAATCAGCATATCCGTACATCGAACGGCATTTCTATCCGCGAATGATATGCGAATTGACGGAGGTTCATCTCTTTCGCACGGTCCTCGCTCTTTGGGGCAGATATAGAAGCCCGTTTACTCCGTTATTAAGAATCGGGTAGGAGAATTATCATCCGTCGTTATTATTACGATGAAAAGAACGGTTTTCAAAAAAAAAAAATTGTAATACATTATTATATTTTACTTATATTATTATTGTTATTCTTGTAATGGCATCATTATATAGACACTTTAGTGTGTTTGAATATACATTTTTATATTTTTATATGTAATAAGTAGATTACCACATCTTTTATTAATATATATTATTGTAGCTTGACCAAAATGTATGATATGGGCATACATAAGCGACAGTTGAAACTCTGGTCGGCAAGGAAGCCATTCTGTCCAAGGAATATCCTAGTCGCTGAACCACTATCGATCCATGAAGCTACACCCATTTTCGTATTTATTAGCGTTTCCATTGCGCTGTCCCTCGTGATCTGCATAATAGAGAACTTGGTCCACTGGATGCAATCCAAGCGGTAACAAGCAATTAAATGAGTGAAGATTTAAGAAGAGCGGATAACAATTTTCAAATTCTTTATTTAATTATTTTGTGTTATTCTCTTTCTTTTATTCTCTCTTTCTTCAAGCATTTATTTCTATATTTCTTGCATGTTTTTAGAGAATTCGCTCTAGAATACCAATAAATGCACCTGTTTATGTATATCTTCATTTTTTTACAGATTATTAATTCCTACGCTACAAAGAAGATTGCGTTTCTCAGCATTAATGAAACACATATCTATTGATCGAAACAGAATATTCTCGCGTGAATAAACTAATAATCTACAATTTTTATTATACATATTATCTATCTTGAAATGCTTATTAGATGTTATCACAAATAGTTTGTGTGTTTAGCGGTTGAACATGGACGTAAATAATTAATTAATGTCACATGCAATTTATTGTTTAATGTGTAGTCCGACAGTAATGCGTTTCCTATAATAGTCCCCATTTCCTGACAGAACTCGATATCATTGCGGCGAAACATAAATAAACGATCAGACATATGACTTTGACATCATATATTCAATATTATATTAATACTGAAAAATTCAGAGCGCAAGCTTTGCAACCGATCCATGCAAAATTAATCAAGCTTTATTTCTATTTCTATTAGTTATTTCCTCCATTCGTATTCGTATTAGCAGACGTGGCGTTGCTTAAAATCTCACAAATTGTTTTAACTTTTTTTACACAGTAACATGTGCAATCTCTGAAAAAGTAAATCACGGTGAAATGTATGCAATACTCTTTTTTACTTTGCTGCGATTTATTTCTAATGCTAACGCAGGAGACAGCGATTTTGTTCGCGACTATTTTGTGCACAAGGCAGTGCGAAATGTCGTTGGATTCTCTTGTGGAGATGTCACGAGTATGTCTGGTGTATCTGTTAAAATATCAGAATCAAATTGTCTGTAGAAAAACTCGGAAATTTATAGATATTTTGTAAAGAATGTCTCTCTGTCTCTCTGTCTTTCTCTCTCTCTCTCTCTCTCTCTTCTGTTTGTTTTTTTACCGTAGGCGATTTTCATTTCGTTAAATCGTTGAGTAGAGCCGGTATATTTACGATCATCAGAAAATACGATACAAATATCAACATAAAGCGATTTTTGAACTCCGAGATTTGGGGCTTAGGAATCGTCGTAGACTTGCGTTGTCATAACGAAAGCGCCGTAACTATCTTCGCCGAGGTAAAGGAATTTGGAAGAGTCGATAAACCATATATATAATATTACTAATTTTGTAACATAGAAAAGAAAAAAAGGAAAAAAAATAATATTTTGCATTTGTTAGACATCTAAATATCGCATGTACGATTATTCGTATCATTGGTTGGTTCTGGGATCAAAGTTAAATGACAGCGTGCCGTTCTTAAATGACAGCGCTTACAGCATAATTACCGATTTCGTGCTTGCAATAACGAACGGTAGCAATTATGATTTGTACGATGTTTATAATCATTGCAAATATCGCGGTGGTACGTTAAATGTAACGAGACTGGGTTCGTGGCGACGAGAAACTGGTCTTGCCATCACTCTCACTCAACCATTGATCCAGAGAAGGGCAAACATGCATGGAATGACATTGAAGATATCAGGCGTGGTTCGTATCATCGAATATATAGTAACAAGAAGTAACAAAGAGAGAGACGTAGTAACGTAATAACAAGAAAGAAAAGAATTTTATTATACACAATATAAATTTCTATAATTATTGCATATTACATAGATACAATATAGGCCGAAAAATATGCGATTGGAGGATTATATGCACGATATCAATACGAGATCCTTGGATAGCATGCATAAATTCACGTACGCGATGATATCTCATACCAGCGATCTCTTTAATTTCAGGTATTTCTCTTAAAATAGATTTTTGTCTCGTATTATCGCTGATTAAGTCGTTCTAAAAAACTCTTTTTCAAGGGTACACGCTTCCGAGATAATTTATTGGGACCGTCACAGCGTGCACGGCTTGATATTCGAGATATTACAAAGGAATTACATCGATTTCGCCAGTAATCCCAGGATTATGGTATCTGAGAGATTGGATTACGCCACCCTCATCGGCGCGGCGTGGCCGATTCGGTATCAAGTTAAGAAGATATTAATCTGTTATTTTTTAATTAATAAATAATGGATCTTTCTCCTGCGTACAGACCCTGCTTCATGCTGCTGTCCACTCCATCGAACAAGATTAAGCTCGAGATTTTTCTGAAACCGCTCGCCGACCATACTTGGTACTTATGGGCTGTATTTATAATGATCTTTATGTTTGTAATGAGAATAATATTGAGACGCGAGGAAGACAGCAGGCAAGAGAAATATTCGGGCGCTGTAATTCTTACCGTCGGCATTCTCGCTCAACAAGGTATAAAATAATGAATGCAGAGATATAATAAAAAAGTCGTTTTTTGTCAATTTAACAATAACATCTCTTATACAGGTGCAAATTTCTTCCCTAAACGGATCCCAGGCCGTATCGCTCTTCTGCAGATCACTGTCTTTAATTGGATTATGTATAATTATTATTCGGCCAGTATAGTGTCGGCTCGTTTGAGCGAGCCACTCGATATGATGGAAGATTCTGTGACGGTCCTCGCGGATAGTAATTTGAAAATCGCCGCAGAAGCTGTGCCATATCTAAACTATTTTTTATATGTACGTGTGTATATATAATATATATATATATATTTCTAGACATGTTGAGATCATGTGGAGACATCAAGTTCTCCAGCAGCGCATGCTTGCATATTATCTGATATATTGAAACTTTTAGAAGCTCAACTGGGAATCAGATTACTTCAGGAAGAAACGCTGGGATCCACTGCCGGAGTCGAAGCGATACTTGCCGATAGAGGAAGGTATGAAACAAGTCAGTCAAGGTATCCTGGCCTATCACACGGATCCCAACACGGCGTATCCCTATGTTGAAAAGATGTTCGATCCGAGCAAGATCTGCGAATTGACGGAGATTCATTTATTCAAGCAATCCGTCATGGGTATGTACGCAAGTTACAACGGTCAGTTCACCGAGGTGGCGAAAATCGGGTAAGTTCTTATCTTTTTTCTCGCAACAAAAAGTCGTAGCAAAATTTCTAGGAATTTTTTTGCAGTTTGTATAAGATGTTCAACACTGGTTTACGCGATCGTCAAATAAAATATTGGTCGAGCAGGAAGCCTCAATGCCAGCTCGATACGTTATCCACAAGAAGTATATCCATATATGAGACAGCTCCGGCTTTGATTCTGTTAGCTTTCGGTATGCTCGTCGGGTGTGGAATATGCATCGTCGAGAATATCGTTTACTATCGATCCATGAGGTAAATTAAACATCTTTTTGTATGGAAAGTTAGGTGCTACAACGTAATTATATGTTCGCACAGAAAGAAAATGTTGAGGCGATCGATGATGAACAACGACGCAGAGAAGATAGCCGGTACGAGCAAACACAATTTGCTCGAATAAAATTGTCTCGCTTTGAGAAGTAAAATATTTACAAGTCGGTCGTATATTATAATTAGTTCATTCATTAGTGTCTCGTTATCGTAGACTTATTTCACGCAAAGAAAAGGAGAGAGAGAGAGGGCTAGATAGGCATGCTACAAATGTAATTTTCCAGTCATTGTCATATTTTACTCTAATAAAGCCGCTTTGCATTGCAAATAGTTCCCAGGAAACTTTTCTATGAATACTTTCGTAGAAGACAATCGAATAATAGACAAGAGGACACGCAAATCGATTGTAACGGATTCAACTTGAGTTCGTGGTAATTGATAGGGAACAGGGACAAAAAATAAAAGAAATTCTGAAACCGGTGAGGAAGTACCGAACGTGTGCTGTATACGGAGTGTCTCGGTGACAACGTGAAACTTTTTAATATATTAATCGTCACATATAAATCATCTAGACGCGACATTCTCTCACAAAATTTAAAAGCTATTAATTAAAAAAAATTTTGTTAAACAGAGATCGATTTAAAGTCGAAGAATCTGGCTGCAAAATAAACGACGAAGATAGCGAGACACCCTGTGTACATGATTAGTATCGGAATAGCCGTTGTGATTATGCTGTCATGTCAATCGACGGACGCGAGTTATGGATGATTTCGAATTCCGCAAATCGTTTCTACTGTGTCCCGAATGTATTATCGTCTTGAGTTCGAAATTATTCCAGCATTCCATGTAGAATAAAGATGAGACAAAGTGGTTACAGCATAGTCGCAACAACTTCGTAGTCTACAAGGATGCATTTGTTGGACATTTTTCTCTCGCAAGTATTTATTATTTTCGCGTACGCGCAAACAAGTGTCATCATTCGGGACTATTTTATCTACAAGAAGGTAACAAGAGTAGTAGGATTCTCCTGCGGAGATGTAGAAGGTAAGTATGAACAACGCGCCTTCTCTTTGTTTCTCTTTCTCTCTCTCTGTTTTTTCCTCGCGTTTTTTTTTTTTTTTTGATAATCTTCTTCGCAGATGATTTTCTTACGATGAAGCTGCTGACTGACGCCGGGATGTCCACGGCGATTAAACCGGCTGGATTCCAAATCAATGTTCTGAGATATCTCGATACCACACGCACCTTAGGTGTGTTTCTGGACATACGATGTCCAAATCAGAACGTCAGCGGCATTTTTGACAAAGTAAGAATTGTGATTTTTATTTTATTTTGCCGAAAAAAGATTATATGTTCGCAAAATTAAAAAATAAAGGATAAAATCTAAATATTTAGGCCTCGGCCTATCGCATGTTCGATTATTCATACAACTGGCTGATTCTGGGGAGCAACATGAGCCACAGTTTGCAGAGTTTGAACGATAGCCTCTTCAGCATTGTCACGGATTTCGTGATCTTATTGCCGGATGCTGAGTCTGGTTACATTCTCTACGACGTGTATAATCATTGTAAAATGCGCGGCGGAATACTTAATGTCACGCAGCTCGGTACTTGGCAAGAGAACGACGGACTCGCGATTATTTTAACTGACTCGAAGATTATCAGACGACGAGATTACCACGGATTGCGTATTAAATCGGCCGGAATCGTAAGTCTCAAGTTTAACGAAAAGTGTGTAATTTGTTTACTATATAAGCAATATATATTCATATAGGTACAGCATAGACCAGCCAACATGAGGCTGGTGGATTACTTGGAGGGCGAAGGTCTCGAAATCATGGATAACTGGCCAAAATTCGGATACAGTCTCCTCTCGCATGTCTCCGATATATTTAACTTCACGTAATCAAGATTACGATAACGCCTAAAAATATTCGCGCATATTCTTCCACATCGTGTGTATCATCAATCGCTCAACGAACATTTTCGCGCGTAGCATGGATCTCATCGAGATCAATCATTGGGACAAGAACGACACCAATGGTCCTGTGATGAGCTTGCTGAAGAGCGATGGAGCCGATTTGGGTTACTTCCCGTCCATCCTGACACTTGAGAGATATGGATATGCGCGTGTCATCTTTCAACAATGGCCCACGCGGTAAACAGTATCCAATAGAGAGAAAATATAATTAAATAGAGAGAAATAAAAAATATAATAAATGCATAGAGATATATGAGTCTCACAAAAGTTATATTTTTGTTAATTTCTTAATTTTAGTACGAGAGCACATGATTAACGCTTTGATACTAAAATTAAAAAATTGGTTTAATTAAAAATGAAGTTGATCAGTCTGGCTTCTAGAAAACTCACATATTCACCAATATCTAGATACGATATGTATATACTTTGTCCATAAAATATTAATATAATATCCACAAGTCTATAATGTCTCATTTAGTTCTTGCTTCATGTTTCGTACCATACCAGCGACGAATATGAAACCCTGGATAATATTGAAGCCGTTCGCAGCGGACACGTGGTACATGATCGTCGTGATCGTGGTGATTACCGTTCTCATCCTGTCCTTCATATTGAAACTGGAGCACGCTAGTGATTATGGCTACAGCATCTCGGCGTTGGTCACCGTCGCCGCATTATGCCAGCAAGGTACATATGATTATACAACACATAATAGCAAAAGTACATAGTATATTCTTTCGTTATTTATTATATCGCGATCAGGTTTTCCTTCTCTCACCGACCAATCGGCCAGTCGAATCGCTTTGATTCAGATCACAGTTTTTGGCTTATTGGTGTATAATTATTATTCGGCGGCGATAGTGTCTGCTAGATTAAACGAGCCTCTCCAGAAAATGAACGACTCGCTTTATTCACTGGCACGCAGCAAGATGCAATTTGCGGCTGAGAAAAACATTTTCTTCGACTTTCTATTAAGGGTAAAAAAGCACATCTTGCTATATTAATTTCCGATATTTTGAAGTTTAATGAAGCTTTAGTGAACTTCTATATTAAATCTAGAATCAAAGACCGGACGTACAATACTTCAGGCACATTTGGAACGCTATACCGGAATCAAAGAGGTTTATCGCGATTGAGGATGGCGTGGAGAGAATAAAAAGAGGAGGTTTTGCTTTCCACGCAGATCCAGACGATATTTATCCGTCCATTGAAAAAGCGTTCGACAAGCAGATGATTTGTCAACTCACGGAAGTTCATCTATTACAGCCCTCCGAGTTGGGCCTGTGGTCCAATCTTAAAAGTCACTTTCATGAAATCAGCAAAATAGCGTAAGTATATCCTCATAATGTATTAGATTTGCGATAATTTTCACATTCCTCAAGATGAGGAATAAATATCCCAGGTTGAAATTTATTTGACATTACATGGATTGATATTGTCAGATTATTGAAGATATCCACCTCGGGACTTCGACGACGAGAGATACACCGCCGATCGGCCAGAAGACCTTATTGTCCAAGCGATGAACTCTTTGTCTCCAGTGTGACTATCTACGAAGTGGCGCCAATCTTGTTTCTTCTGCTCTTCGGAATGATAATTTCATTGATTATATTTGGGATCGAGCAGCTTGTCTTTTATACGATGCATTCGAAACGAGCACTTGACATTAAAATAGAAAAACATAAAAAACACAAGATTAAGGATAAAACATCGTCTAAGAATAAGAGTATTCTGGTTTTTCCAAAAATCAAGAAGTCTCTCTTACAGGATTCTAATGACGAAGTGATAAAGATATAGATAAAATTTTAGACAATAACAGAATTCTCAATTCCACATGTAAATTATTTATCAGATCATTACGTACACAGGTATACGTAGTTCAAATGAATATATGTTTAAATTAAATACAAATATCTTTCCACGATCCCTTTCTTACAATTCTTAATATACAATGCGCGAGTAGAATATAATAAATATATTAAATGCGAAGCACATATGGATCTTTTATCCGAATATTATTCATGCGTTGTTTTATTTGCGCATAAAAAAAATAATTATATAAATATGATAATTTACATAATTTAGAAAAAAAACATGATAAAAAAAGAAATACTTCGTTTTTATTATAAAAGAAAGTTAGAAATTATTTTTTCTTTTTAGATTTCTTATCGACAGTGACTGGCGCTGTTCCAGTGAGATCCATTAAACGCTGTTTCAGTTTCAACAATATCTCCACTTGTGGCTTCCACACGCTTCCATCTTCCTTGGCCTTTAATTCTCGCACAAGATTGCCCTAAAGTTGCGACATAGTGTAGTGTAAATCGAGCGCATAATTATCGTAAAAAAAAGTCCTGTTTTTTATGATATCCAATACCTGTTTTGCGATAGCCGTTTCTAATGCCGCCACGTCTGTTAGAGCATCACCGTTTTGTTCTGGCACGTGCATCGGTTCGACTTTCTTATTTTTCGCGGGTAATTTTTTCTCAGGTGCGTTTGCGTTTGCGTTACTTTTGAGATCATTAAGCTTTTTCTTTAAGTTCAACAAGATTTCTACTTGAGGTTGCCAGATGCTTTTATCGTGTTTCGCTTTCAGTTCTCTTATTAAATTACCCTAGAAAATACAAAAGATGAAAGTAAGGAAATTATTTTCATAGACAGAAGGAAAAGATTTACTAACTTGCTTTGTGATAGCGACTTCTAATGATGCGACACTTTCATCGGAAGTTTTATTTGCCGACAATTCATTATTAGTCTCTTGTTGTCCAGCGTATTTCTTGCGTAACATTTCTACTTTTTGATCCTCAATCTTAGTGAATAATGGATTAGGTTTGCCGATTTTGTGCCAAGTAGGTAACATGTTTGTTATTGTCTCGGGAATGTAGCCGTAACTTTTGTTACTCAAACCTAGTTGAGATCTCAATTGTTTAGCTGTAGACGGCATAAAAGGAGCCAAAAGAGCAGATAAAAGGCAGGCTAAATTACAGCAAATTGCAACGACAGTTCCAGCCCTTTTCCTATATTGGTTTTCAATCAAAATATTTTTTAATTCAAAAACAAATATTCATATTCAAAAACACACAAAGCAATAGTTAAAACTCATGATATTACTTGTCATCGTCGGTCCCTTTAACTTTTACCCATGGCTGTTGGAATTGCATGTATTGATTGCCGTGTTTTGAAATCGCCAATATGTATTTCAAGCCGTCCCTCAACTTAGCTTGCTCCATTGCGTTTATGTAACATGACAATTCGCGTTGTGCCAACGCCAATATGGTCCAATCAGCTTCTTCCGGCCGTTCTATCGGTGGTACGGTAGAGTTGAAGAATTTTTCAGAGAATACCAGAGCTCT